CACATTAAAATGGGTATTTGATTACATTACCTGTTAATGTGGTCAATGCCACTGATGTAGACGAAGCAGCAGTTGAAACATTTGGAGGTGCTGCGTGAATGAGAAAGTTTAAGTTATTTAAGAAGATGTTGGCACAATTTATTCTATGGGACCGACAAATATACTATTAATACAGTTTTAGGTTCTGTTTCCTCTGTAAAATCAGTGGGCTGTTATATAATGGCTGCAGCAAGATTTAACTACCTGTTGGATTTGTGGTGGACAATGGAAGCTCAGATGTTTTATTACCTAGTGGGGACGTGGTGTTGACTGGTCCTAAAGTTGAACTGACTAGTTGCGAGGCTGCACTGATTGGCGGTGTAGATGAACTGACTGGAGGAGAAGTTGCATTCAGTGTATGTGATGTCAAGTTGACTTCTGGTGAAGATGTTGTTATTGGAGGTGAAGATGCAGTGATTGGAGATGAAGATGGACTGACTGGAGAAGAAGTTGCATTCAGTGTAAGTGATGTCAAGTTGACTTCTGGTGAAGTTGTAGTGATTGGAGATGAAGATGGACTGACTAACGGAGAAGTTGCATTCAGTGTATGTGATGTCAAGTTGACTTCTGGGCAAGTTGTAGTGATTGGAGGTGAAGATGCAGTGACTGGAGATGAAGATGGACTGACTGGAGAAGAAGTTGCATTCAGTGTATGTGATGTCAAGTTGACTTCTGGTGAAGTTGTTATTGGAGATGAAGATGCAGTGATTGGAGATGAAGATAAACTGACTAGCGGAGAGTTTGAATTCAGTGTAGGTGATGTCATATTGAATGCTGGTGAAGTTGTAGTATTTGGTGAAGAAGTTAGTGTTGGTGTGGTTTCTCCTTGTAGTGGTGGTAAGGTTGAGTTGACCACTGATGAAGTAGCATAACACAGGTTACAGAGGCAAAACAAATACTCTTCTCATACACACACACACATATATCTATATATCTATATATATACGTATATATCCATCCATTTTCAGCCAGTTATCTGGAGTCGGGTTGCGGGGGCAGCAGCCTAAGCCGGGACGCCCAGACATCCTTCTCCCCAGCTACTTGAGCCAGCTCTTCTAGGGGAATCCCAAGGTGTTCCCTGGCCAACAGAGAGACATAGTCCCTACAGCATGTCCTGGGTCTTCCCTTGGGTCTCCTCCCAGTTGGACGTGCCCGGAAAAACTCACCAGGGAAGCGTCCAGGAGGCATGCCCAAGCCACATCAACTGGCTCCTCTCGACGTGGAGGAGCAACGGGTCTACTCCGAGCCCCTCCCAGATGACCGAGCTTCTCACCCTATCTCTAAGGGAGAGCCCAGCCACCCTGCGGAGAAAACTCGTTTTGGCTGTTTGTATCCGCGATCTTGTTCTTTTGGTTACTACCCAAAGCTCGTGACCATAGGTGAGAGTAGGAGCGTAAATCGACTGGTGAATCGAGAGCTTTGCCATCTGGCTCAGCTCTCTCCACCACGACAGATCGGTACAGTGCCTGCTTCACTGGAGTCGCAGCACCAATCCGCCTATCAATCTCGTGCTCCAGCTTTCCCTTACACGTGAACAAGACCCTGAGATACTTAAACTCCTCCATTTGAGACAGGACCTCGTCCCTGACCTAGAGAAGGCATTCTATCCTTTTCCGACTTAAGACCATGTTCTCGGATTTAGAGGAACTGATTCTCATCCCAGCCACTTCACACTCAGCTGTGAACCGCTCCAGTGACAGCTGGGGAGATCACTGTCCGATGAAGCCAAAAGGACCACATCATCTGCAAAAAGCAGAGACCTGATAGCCTGGCCTGCCACACTCCTCCTCTGTTTAATTCTGCACAGAGAAAGAGTCTGGTAACTCACAGACAGAGAGGCACATGAGGGGCGGGACTAGGCAGCTCAAAAATATCCAATCAGAAAAAAAGACAGAAATGCCGACTGTACCGTGCAACGCTGTAGTTTTTTAGCTGTGGTAACAAAAGGCGTCTGGTAACGGCGCAAACACCTTTTATTTTTATTTTTTTTTAGAAGAAATGCTTCTAGCACTTCTACTTGTTGTTGTTTTAAAGACATTCAAGTCATTTAGAACAGAGGAAAGAGCCGCAGCAAACTCCGCCGCTGTCTTCGTCGTTTATGAGAAACTGAACGTCGCTGTCGTTTTTCAGCTGTGGTCAAAAATGGCGTCTGGTGACAGCTCAAACATCTTCCTTTAGAAGAAAGACTTTTAGCGCTTCTACTTGTTTTAAAGACTTGTCCAAGTCATTTAGAACAGAGGAGCCGCAGGCAAACTCTGCTTCGGTCGCCATGTTTATGACAAACTCGGCGTTGTGGTGTGTGACGTACGCTACTCAGCGCCTATTGGCTCGTTTAGAATTCTCAGGGGGTGGGGTTATTTGAATAGGAGAGTTCCCAGACCTTTTCTCTGTGCAGAATTAAGCAAAGGAGGTGTCTGGCAGGCCAGACTAGAGACCTGATCCTCAGGCCAACAAAACAGATCTCCTCAACACTTTGGCTGCGCCTAGAAATCCTGCCCATAAAAGTTATGAACAGAATCAGTGATAAAGGGCAGCCTTGGAAGTATGATCCCTCTGTAGTTGGAACATACTCTGCGGTCCCCCTTTTTAAATAGGGTAATCACCACCTCAGTCTGCCAATTCAGTGAAACTGCCCCCGATGTCCACGCGATATTGCAGAGCCGCGTCAGCCAACACAGCCCTATAACATCCAGAGCCTTAAGGAACTCCGGGCGGATTTCACCCACCCTTGGAGCCTTGCCACCGAGGAGATTTTTGACCACCTCAGTGACGTCTGCCCCAGAGACTGGAGAGTCCAACTCAAAGTCTCCAGACTCTACTTCCTCACTGGAAGATGTGCCAGTGGGATTGAAGAGGTCTTCTAAGTATTCCGCCCACCGATCCACAACCTCCCGAGTAGAGGTCAGCAGCACACCGTCCCCACTGTAAACAGTGTTGGTAGCTCACTGCTTTCCACTCCTGAGATGCCGGATGGTTGACCAGAATCTCTTCGAAGCCATGCGGCAGTCTTGCTCCATGGTCTCACCGAACCCCTCCCACGCCCATGTTTTTGCCTCCACGACCATCTGAGCCGCATTCTGCTTAGACTGCCAGTACCCATCAGCTGCATCTGGAGTCCCACAGGCCAAAAAGACCCGATAGAACTCCTTCTTCAGCTTGTTAGCATCCCTAACCACCGGTGTCCATCAGAGGGTTCGGGGTTTGCCTCCACGACAGGCACATTCACTTACCTGTTCAAACGAATTTTGTAAAGGTTTATTCAACCCCTAAGTAAAATTCACTCTGTGGCTATATTTACCAAAGTGAATGGTAATAACAAGCACCGATGTAATCTGCTGCTGCAAGACACAAGGATGCTGTGACATGATGCCTGGCAGAAATATTCACTGTTGAGTTTACTTTATAACATTTACAATATTTGACCTTTATAACAGTTAAAAGCAGGTTTTGGGGCTATTGCATTTTGTCCTTGTGCCTTGTAGCGACGGCTTACAGCAATGCTTTGTCAACATGCAGTCCCAGGTCATATTTATCTCTTATAGATTTTCCAATTTACTTATTTTCCTTTGTAGTCGATTTGATTATTGAGATCACCAAGAAAAATTTGGATCATCATTAATTAATCGTCATGACTTTTTCACACATGTTTATGCTAAGCTTAAAGCAAGCTAAGCTAACTGGGCTGGTTACATTATGTTTTTTCCCATTTATCTAACTCAAGGAAAAATGGCAACAGACTATTTTTAACCAAATGTTGTTTCCTGCTTTTGTGCCATAAATGTATTACATAACAAATTGAAATTGGTATGAGTTACATTACCTGGCAATGTTTCAGTGGTTACTGAAGGTGGAGTGACTGATGCCGTTTGGATAAATGGTGGTGAAGTAGCATTCGTCGTTAAGAGGAGACCTGGTGTGGGTGAGATTGAGGTCGGGATGACTGTTGGGGTCACAATCCCTGGAAGTGGAGTTGTATTTTCTGAAAAAACAAAATAAAATATGAGGTATAATTGTGTTTATGATTACATTACTTTACCGACAATTGAGCAAAACTAAGATGGTGACCACTGGTTTGAAACGGCTCTGGCATCAAATTTGGACAATTTAAACTTGGGCTTTATTTTGAGTCAAGAGCAGATAAGTCCTTTCTTTAGAAAGAAAAACAGTATTTGCATCTTGTTTAAAAGTATACAGTGGACTGCCCCGCCGACTGACATTCAGAGCGGTGAGTACTTCACCTTGTTTGTTGTCCAAAAGCATATTTGTATGTATGTATATATATATATATATATATATATATATATATATATATATATATATATATATATATATATATATATATAATTTGTTTCAAAATTAAAATCATAACTTTAACACAAGAAAAATATTTCAAGCTGCTGGAGTCATAAAAATACCTGTTAACGAAGTTGAAATCGCTGGTGTGGAAACCGCTGTTGTAGTCGGTGTCTCAGTTGGTATAACCTCTACAAATAACAATTAGTACAAAAGTAATCCAGTTACTGTTGAAAATAATACAATTTTTGCACAATCTGACATTTTGTGAATGACTCAAAGCCTTACCTTGAGCAACAATAGAACTTGTGTTGACAGTAAGGTTTAAATTTCCATTCATGGTAGCATTCACCAAAGTGTCAACAACAGAACTGGCATTTGGTAATGTCGTCACATTATTGAATATCAGCACAGCATCGATATTAATGGATCCAGCACTGCAACAGAAATGCTAGTTAGATTTTGTTGTAGTGTACTTTACTGATAAATCCTTTGTTTTTTTTAGTATGAATCTCCTGCAAATTAAAAGGACTAGTTTAAAAAAATGTGTTTTTCAGTATGAAAATGTGATAAACAACAAAGTGGCAAATCCCTTTCTCCATATTTTTAAGAGCATTTGTGGCAATTAGTAGATAAAGCATAAGACGATTTTTAAATATAATCACAACAATTGCTAAATGTTTACCTGAATCCATTGATGATCGTTCGATTAAATTTATCTCCGTACTCTTCTTTATAGACTTTGTTGAGCTGGGTAGAATTTTGTAAAAAGAAAGGCAAATTTGTTAGAATTTCACTTGAATGATTCACTTTATTTTTACTTTACTTTTTACTTTCTTGCATTTTTATTTCTGTTTAAAAATAACTGGAACATTCCTTGTTGAGTCATGACTTATTTGTAAATGTATATTTTTGAAAAAGAGTAATAACATGACTTGTTAAGTAACTCATATTCAAGTTATGAACTATTGGAAAAAAATATTTTAAGGAAAAACATCTTTTATTGTTTTTAAATATAAGTATTCCATGGATTTTTTTAAAGTAATCTCTCTAAATGGGAAGAATAACAATTCAAAAGAGGAACTGAAGAAATCTTACCTGTGTAGTTACTTTAGTCTCTAATGCCTTAAACTCTGGAGAGGTTTTGTCTGCAAGTTTTGGCTGAAAGGTTTCCTCCACCTTAAATTTTAAAATGACTTTAGGTTCTGGTTTTTCAGGAGCTATGGTTGTGGTTGTGGTAGTTGTAGCTGTAGTCGTGGTTGTAGTTGTAGTTGTGGTTGTAGTTGTAGTTAGAGTTGAAGGTGGAGCTGGAGCTGGAGTCGTAGCTGTTGTAGGTGCGGTTGCTGGTGTTATGGATGTTTGAATAGCAGGTGGAGAGCTTGCAGGGCCTGTTCAAGAACAAAGTTTCATAGTTTTATAGCAGACAATAAACAAAACAATGGTATATTAACAATAACAGAACCTGAGGTTACCTGAGGTTTGTGGATTTGGAGGCGTTATACTGACTGGTGGCAAATTGGAAGGAGGCGAGGATACGTGTATCACTGTAGGTGAGGTTGGGTTGACTGATGAGGCTGATGTTAATTCTGTTTAATCCAAATAGAAAAGTATTTTAAACACAGACAGTATATGGTATTTCATAATGACTGTAAGTCGTTCTCGGGGGCAAAAATACACCATTGCACCATTTCCAGTAACTGGAACATTGCCACATCACAGCTTAGCTTCAGACAGCAGGTTTTGTCACACACTTCATATACGTAGACACCACATGGATTGTCGCTGCTTATTGGAGCTAGCATAGCAGCGGGCTGCCATCTTGGATGGGTCCCCATTCACCCCAAGTGCATTGATTTCTACTGAGGAAGGTGCTTACCCAACTAAAAAGCACATTTTATTATTATTTTTCAAAAAGTCTGACATATAGTATAACATGATAATTAAAATATAAATATAATTTAACAAAATAAATTTAAATATTAAATCCTAACAGCTAGGCTTGAAAAGTGAATAGTAATCCCATGTGATTTTTTTGTTTTGTTTCAATAGTGCGTCGGTTGTTGCAACTGACGGCTGCACAAAAAACGGGCATAGTTACCCACCCTGTGTTGACTCCAGTTTGGTTTGGAGAGTGAGACGACCCACCCAATCTGGCAGCAGTGATCCTGTTATGCTCTGCAACACCCAGTGGGGCATCTACATATTCGTGTCTATGGGTTTTGCTGTCTTATATCCTGATTTAAGGTCCTGGCAGGGACAGCACCACCCTACCTTGCTGAGCTGCCAGTAAAACATGTGCCAGCACATGCCCTATGCTCCTCTGACAAGCACCTACTGGTGGTCCCCTGGGCCAAGCTAAAGTCTTGTGGCAAACATGCATTTGCAATTTTAATACCGAAACTGGAATCAACTTTCACTTGAGATTTGAAGCTCATGTACAGTATGGAGCTTTAAAACTAGGGTTGCTCACTATTTTAGGATGACTTGGAACTGTATTTGATCTTTTTGCTTTGGTGGACCCATGGGCATTTACCTGGTCTGCTTTCTAGATTATTATGTGGACTAGTCAACATGCCACTGTATCACAGCTAATTTAGTCTCTTTTATGTTTTATGAGTTTTCATTTTTCATCTAGTATAATTTTGAAACCCATCTTATTTATTACGAGTTTTTAATCTACGTTTTAATAGAGTTCGTTTTTTTGAACGTGTCCGGTACTTTGAACCATTGTAACCGGTGGTGGTAAAGTGCTTTATATATTAAATTAAATTAAATTATTTGGCCATTTCTCCTTTGGTCAACATAACTCTGCCACTGACTCAGTTTGCTTTGCAAAACTGATGTTTTATCTCCACAAATAACACACGCCTGGAGGAATTCTGCCATGTGGTAGAGTTGATAATGCTAACAGTTGCTTCTAGACGTTCTCTGCTGTTTCCTGCATGCTAAACCAAAAACAGTATCCCCTGTCATGAGTGAAAATAGGTGAGTACATGAATGTTAAAGGACAGTGTGACCTAGAACTGTCAGGATTTTCAAATCCTAAAGTTTCACCACTTATTTTCAATTACAAGCTAATGCAGGAGGTAGGTGTAGAAGATTATTTTCTTGTTAGTCAGGTAGTTAGGACTTATTTAATAATTTAAAAAGTCCCAATATGCATTTTTACAAACTTACATTATAAATACAATTTTATTAGCCTATTCGTTATAAGAATTTGTAATTCAAGTTTCTGCTCGTGCAGTAGCACCAAATTATGCTTAAATATTATAAGTGATGGCGAGTTAGCATTGACATGTCTGGAGATGATAAGGTTGCACTATATTGTGGTGAAGTTGCACGGAATGGTAGTAAATCATTGTTGAAGTTATTTCTTTATGCTGACTGCTTATTAAGTTGCTTTGTTTGGTAGAGAAATTATTAAAAGTGAAGTTAAAGTTGATGTTTGCCTTGAAAAACTGGCATTTTGCATTACCATGTGATACACATGAAAAAATGATTTTTGAAACTGTTAATTGATTATTAGAATATTTGAATTAGATAACCTAAAGCCAATAAAACCTTTACAGATTTTATATAATTGTTTCTCACTTTTGTGCACAAAATAAACATGATTGTTAACCTAAAACCCCTCTATTCTTTCCATTAGTGAACAATGAAATTAGCTATGTTACATGACCAAAATGATTAGTGGGTGAAAATCTGAGTTGATAAGAGATACTAGGAGCAACATCTAGTGGTGTTTGTGGTGAATCTGGCAAAAGTTTAATTACCAGGACTTGGGGGAGCTGATGATGGTGGGCTGATGCTGACTGGTGGTGAACTCAAGTTCTCAGTTGAAAAAGTTGTGGCTTCTCTAGGTGATGCTGGGCTGACCACTGGTGAGGTCATTTGTGGAGGTGAATTCACAGAAGGTCCACCTGCAAGAAATACATTGAGAAAAAAATATATTTTAGAGGCTATGGGATACATATTATCCATTAATTTGTCAGTAGAAAGTCAGCCCTACTAGTTAGGAATGATTTCAATTGCTCTCAATTGTCCTTTTTTGATTAAAACTGGGAGTGTTTCTTGCAAAGATTAAAGTTATCGCAAGTGCTGGAACTATCTCAAATTAATATTATGAACAAACACTCATTTAAGAAATAATAATTCAAGAGTATTTAAATAAAATCCTTCTGTTGGTCTGGTAATGAATGACAAGGCTTTATATATCAGCTTGACATGAGGTTTTGCTCAACTATGGTGATGTCTAAATACTTAAATGTACAATGGATGCAAAGATTCCACAACTGTTCAGATGGTATGAGAAACTGTGTTGTTTCGATTGTGGAAAAAGTTTAATTACCACCACTGAGGGTGTATTTGATGTCGTATCTCCTGAAAGAATAACATTTAGAAAACCCCCAAAAATTATAAATGTGGGTTGAAAATTTATTCATAAGCATCTATTAGTTTATCCTGGTTAAAGACAGCTGCACTCGTTGGTGATGATTTAAATTGTTGTCAGTCAAACGTTGTTGGCTTTTTATAGGAGAGTTCCTTGCAAAAACTAAAGGTATTACAAGTTTTAAGAGCTACTACTAAATAGTTACATGTGAAAAATCTGCATCCCATGAAATATTTTTTGAAAAGCCTTTTTGATTGGTGCCCATCTGGAACCTTGCCCTACGCACAGTGTGTGATGCGTGTGGGCAGAGTGCCAGAGCTGCTTCTAATGGTGTTTTGAATGTGGCAAAAATGTAATTACCAGGACTTGGGGGAGCTGATGGTGGTGGGCTGATGCTGACTGATGGTGAACTTAAGTTCTCTGTTGAAAAAGTTGTGGCTTCTCTAGGTGAAGTTGGGCTGACCACTGATGTGGTTATTTGTGGAGATGAGTGCACAAAGGGTATATTTGACGTTGTATCTCCTGAAAGAATTGAGAAAACCCAAAATATTATAGAACCTATGGGTAACAAGTTGGCAGATCCACTCCCAACAGAAAATGTTTTTCATAAGTTATTTTGGTTGTTGCCCTTTTGGCTACTCGCCCTACGCACAGAGTGAGATGTTGCTGCTTCTAATGGTGTTTTGATTGTGGAAAAAGTTTAATTACCAGGACTTGGGGGAGCTGATGGTGTTGGGCTGATGCTGACTGGTGGTGAACTCAAGTTCTCAGTTGAAAAAGTCGTGGCTTCTCTAGGTGAAGTTGGGTTGACCACTGGTGTGGTTATTTGTGGAGATGAGTGCACAAAGGCTGTATTTGATGTTGTAGCTCCTGAAAGAATAACATTGAGAAAAAACCCCAAAATTATGAATATGGGTTACTAATTTATTTATAAGCATCTATTAGTTTATCCTGGTTAAAGACAGCTGTACTCGTTGGTGATGATTTAAATTGTTGTCAGCCAAACGTTGTTGGCTTTTTATAGGAGAGTTCCTTGCAAAAACTAAAGGTATTACAAGTTTTAAGAGCTACTACTAAATAATTGCATGTGAAAAATCTGCATCCCATGAAATATTTTTTGAAAAGCCTTTTTGATTGGTGCCCATCTGGAAACGTGCCCTACGCACAGTGTGTGATGCGTGTGGGCAGAGTGCCCGAGCTGCTTCTACTGTTGTTTTGAATGTGGCAAAAATGTAATAACCAGGACTTGGGGGAGCTGATGGTGGTGGGCTGATGCTGACTGATGGTGAACTTAAGTTCTCAGTTGAAAAAGCCGTGGCTTCTCTAGGTGAAGTTGGATTGACCACTGGTGTGGTTATTTGAGGAGATGAGTGCACAAAGGGTGTATTTGATGTTGTATCTCCTGAAAGAATTGAGAAAACCCAAAAATATTATAGAACCTATGGGTAACAAGTTGGCAGATCCACTCCCAACAGAAAATATTATTCATAAGTTATTTTGGTTGTTGCCCTTTTGGCTACTCGCGCTACGCACAGAGTGAGATGTTGCTGCTTCTAATGGTGTTTTGATTGTGGAAAAGGTTTAATTACCAGGACTTGGGGGAGCTGATGGTGGTGGGCTGATGCTGACTGGTGGTGAACTCAAGTTCTCAGTTGAAAAAGTTGTGGCTTCTCTAGGTGAAGTTGGATTGACCACTGGTGTGGTTATTTGTGGAGATGAGTGCACAAAGGCTGTATTTGATGTTGTACCTCCTGAAAGAATAACATTGAGAAAAAACCCCAAAATTATGAAAATGGGTTACAAATTTATTTCTAAGCATCTATTAGTTTATCCTTGTTAAATACAGCTGTACTCGTTGGTGATGATTTAAATAGTTGACAACCAAACTTTGTTGGCTTTTTATAGGAGAGTTCCTTGCAAAAACTAAAGGTATTACAAGTTTGAGCTACTACTAAATAGTTACATGTGAAAAATCTGCATCCCATGAAATAGTTTTTGAAAAGCCTTTTTGATTGGTGCCCATCTGGAAACGTGCCCTACGCACAGTGTGTGATGCATGTGGGCAGAGTGCCCGAGCTGCTTCTACTGTTGTTTTGAATGTGGCAAAAATGTAATAACCAGGATTTGTAGGAGCTGATGGTGGTGGGCCGATGCTGACTGATGGTGAACTTAAGTTCTCTGTTGAAAAGGTCAGGGGCTGTCCAGGTGAAGTTGGGCTGACCACTGGTGAGGTCATTTGTGGAGGTGAATTCACTGAAGGTGCACCTGCAAGAATAACATTGATAAAAAAAATCTGAGGCTATGGGTTACATATTATTTATTAGTTTATCCTTGTCAACGACAGCCTTATTAGTTTGGTAATGATTTAAATTGCTGTCGACTATCCTTTGTTGACTTAAAATGGGAGTGTTTCTTGCACGTACTGAATGTATTACTAATATAAGAACTACCTCAAAACATGAACAAACAATCATTTAAGTGATAATAATGAAAAATAAACATGATTAATAAAATACAACTCTTCTGTTTGTTTCATTAATGAACGATGAGACTTTGTAGTAACATGTTAGCTTGATGTGAGGTTTTGCCTAAAGATGGTGATGTCTAAATACCAAAATGTATGGTAGGTGCAAATATTTTAAAACTGTTAAGATGGTACAAGAAACTGTAGTGATGTTTAGATTGTGGCAAAAATTTAACTACCAGGACTTGGGGGAGCTGATGATGGTGGGCTGATGCTGACTGGTGGTGAACTCAAGTTCTCAGATGAAAAAGTCGTGGCCCCACTAGGTGAAGTTGGGCTGACCACTGGTGTGGTAATTTGTGGAGATGAATTCACAAAAGGTGCAACTGATGTTAAACCTGATGAAATAATAACATTATTCGTTCATGTTTATATTATGTTATCATTATAAAATTCAGTTCCACAAGATGGTAATGATTATAAGTGTTGTCATTTGCCTTTTGTTGACATATTATAGGAGTTTTTGCAAAGACTAAAAGTATCACATCTGGTAATTACTACAGAACAAAATTACATACAAAAAATATAATTTCAGCAAAGACTTGATTGTTAACCTCAATAATTATAATTGGCGCCATTAGGACTTAGTGGTAAAATCAAGTTATTTAGTTGAGGTGTTAAAAAATGGTGATGGCAAATCACCTAAATGTGTAGTTGTTACAAAGTTTTCACAATGGCGCAGAAGAGCTGTGATGGTGTTTTGAATTAGATTAAATTGGGATTGCCTGGTAGCGTAGGTACTGATGAAGGAGTATTGATGGGGTTTTTTTCTTCATCAATTACACATACAGTACATATTTTGGATTAAATTCTTGGTGATGAATAAGTTTTAAGAAAATGTGTTGCTTCTATAATTTGTACATAGATATTCAGCTTGATATCCAAACTGAATGTCACTGGGCCTAACAACACATTAATTTGAACGTTGAACCTTAATGAGGATTGTTTGACAGTTTGTTAGGTTATACTGGTTGCATATAACTACAGAGATCGGTCATTGTTTAACAAAATTTCCCTAACCAAAAACATATTTTAATCAAATGTAATTAGTCCACACTGGCGCGAATTCATCTAGATACTACATTACAGACTGACTCAAGTTCAGTTACCTGGTGATGACGAGGCTGCTGATTCAGAGGGTGTGCCAGTAGAAGGTAAAGAGGAAATTAGCGCTTGAGAGGTTGCTGTCCCATGTGGTGGGGAGGTGCCTTCTATTGGTGAAGTTGTTATTTCAGGTGAAGAAGTTAGAATGCCTGTAGATAACAGATTTAATGTGTTGAAAAAAAGTGAGGCTGAATCCTTTGTTAGGTCTCAATCACAAATCAACACGGTTTCATGAAACAACTAAGCCTGTTGTATTTGAATGACAGAATTTAGATCACCAATCATTGAATTTGGGGTAATACCTGATGCAGTGGTTTTAGATGGTGGCACAGTAGCATTAATTGATACTGAGGTTGCGTCAGTCAGTGCTAAAATCGCAGTAGTTGATGGAGCTGTGGGAAATCCAAAAACAAAGTAAACAATACATTTTGAATTTGTTTTCTATTAGACAGGCTCTTGTAAATGCCTAGTTTGATATATGCTAGCATATAAAAACATGACTAATAGTAAGCCATTTTGGGTATTAAACGAGTTTTAAGAAACAGCTAAAAATCTTTACTTACTTAACATCATTTTATCATATTACATTGAGTGATGATGAAGTTACCAATTTATAAATATCTTTGGTTTGGTAAATTTTTCATTTCTGATTTGTTAATTATGAGTCATGTAAGAAGACTGAAGTCTTCCAACTATGCCATCACATCATTGCAATAAAGTTTTAATTGTTCACTTATCATGCAACTTTATCTGAGAGTATTAATATGTTTTAGACTTGATTTAAAGATGTATAGACTGTATAAATTACACTTTCTTTAGTAGTAGTTTTGTTAGGCTAGGGTTGTCAGCTGTCAAATTTTTCGCAGCTGGTCCTGACACTGATGGCTGGTAATATCATTGGGTCATATTGTTCTTACACTGTGTTGGCTGGTGAAAGGCTTGTGTCAGCAGGTTCTGATATTGTGTTACCTGAAGATGAAGTTATGTTGGCTGGGTGCGATACTATGTTGTCTGCTGAAGTTGTTACAGCTTGTTTTGACACTGTACTGACTATCGCAAATGTTGTGTCCATTGGTTTTGGCAAGGTGCTGGCTGGTAATATAGTTGTGTCCGTTGGTTTTGCCACAGTGCTGGCTGGTAATACAGTTGTACTGGCTGGTTCTGGCACCATGCTGGCAATTAATATTGTTGTTCTGGCTGATTCTGTCACTGTGCTGGATGGTAATACAGATGTGTCCTTTGGGTTTGGCACTGTGCTGGCTTGTAATATAGTTGTAATCGCTGGTTCTGGTACTGTGCTGGCTGGTTGTTGCACTGTGATGGCTGGTAAGACAGTTGTGTTAGCTGTTTCTGGGATTGTGCTGGCAGGTAACATAGTTGAGTTTGCTGGTTCTGTCACTCTGCTGGTTGGAGGAGTTGTTACGGCTGTTTCTGAAACTGTGTTTGTTGACATTATAGTTGTATTGGCTGGTTCTGGCACTCTTCTGGTTGGAGAAGTTGTTACAGTTTCTGACGTGCTGGCTGGTAAATTAGTTGCTATGGCTGGTTCTGGCACTGTGTTTGTTGGTATTATAGTTGTGCTGGCTGGTTCTGGCACTCTGCTGGTTGGAGGAGTTGTTATGGCTGTTTCTGGCATTTTGCTGGCTGGGGAAGTTGTCACAGGTGTTTCTGGCACTGTGCTGGCTGGTAATATAGTTGTTACAGTTGTCTCTGACTCTGTGCTGGCTGGTAATATAGTTGTTACAGTTGTCTCTGACTCTGTGCTGGCTGAGGGAGTTGTTACAGTTGTTTCTTGCACTGTGCTGGCTGGGGGAGTTGTTATGGCTGTCTCTGGCACTGTGCTGGCTGGTAATATAGTTGTTACAGTTGTCTCTGACTCTGTGCTGGCTGAGGGAGTTGTTACAGTTGTTTCTTGCACTGTGCTGGCTGGGGGAGTTGTTACAGTTGTTTCTTGCACTGTGCTGGCTGGGGGAGTTGTTATGGCTGTCTCTGGCACTGTGCTGGTAGGTAATATAGTTGTTATGGCTGTTTCTTGCACTGTGCTGGCTCGGGGAGTTGTTATGGCTGTCTCTGACTCTGTGCTGGCTGGGGGAGTTGTTATGGCTGTTTCTTGCACTGTGATGGCTCGGGGAGTTGTTAACGCTGTCTCTGGCACTGTGCTGGCTGAGGGAGTTGTTATGGCTGTTTCTTGCACTGTGCTGGCTGGGGGAGTTGTGATGGCTGTCTCTGGCTCTGTGCTGGCTGGGGGAGTTGTGATGGCTGTCTCTGGCTCTGTGCTGGCTGGGGGAGTTGTTAATGCCGTTTCTGGCTCTGTGCTGGCAGGTAATATAGTTGTTAACGCTGTTTCTGGCACTGTGCTGGCTGGGGGAGTTGTTAACGCTGTTTCTGGCACTGTGCTGGCTGGTGGATTTGTTACAGTTGGTTCTGTGTTACCTGATGACAAAGTTGTGAATGCTGATTCTGAAGCTGTGGTGAGTGGTGAATCTGTGCTGTTTGATTGGGATGTGAGTGTTGATACAGTTGTGTCCTCAGATGTTGTGGTTACTGTTGAAAAATCAGGGTGGACAGGTGAGAAAGTAGCAAAATGTTAAGTGAGAGACAGGTAAAATTTTTGTCTACCATTCGTAATAATGTGATTTTTATTGTTAATGGTCTTTTTAATTAAAAAGTGTATTAATCCTCAATACAAATAAGGTGGGAAGTCATTTGATCATGTGTGCAGCACTTTGCAAATGTCTTGAATTTCCATTCAAAGCATTCAAAAATACAAAGAAGAATCCTTTCAAACATCATAGTCATCAAAGTAGACATGATTATCATAACCAGTTTTCTTGTAAATGTGTGGGTGGTGACATTATACTTCCTTACAAGCCACCACACTGCCCTCTATTGGGTGAAGGTTAGGGTTAGTCATTGTGTACTTAATGACAATAATAATCCCACAATGTTATTTTAATTATTTTTAATATAAAGCTAGAAATGTATTTGTTAAAAAATATTTTAGACCTTAAATAAATGCTATCCACCTGAGCATGGATTGGAAATACAAAGAAAATAATGTCAACAAATACAAAATTATGCTGACCCACTCCTACATTGTTCCCATCTGTACTCTATTAGCAGACTAAGTATTCTAGTATTTTATTATCAAGTATTATCATAACAAAATATAAAACATACCTAAAAGTTGTGTTCTTTCTTGGATCTAGATGTTCTTACAGCTAAGATTAACTTTTTTTAAACTACTTTTTGTAAAAAAGAATATATTGGACTATTTGTCAAAATTCTATGTTTAAAATTATTCTGTGTCTATTTTGTTTGGCATATATCCAGGCTGACTCTGCTATCTTCACTTTAAATTTAAGTTAAGGTAAGGAAATTATTCTGTTCTTGTGTTCTGCATCACTGGTAAGAAATGGATTTGAAATAGAAAACGGAAAGTATGCAAATTCTAACATCATTTTTTACTCATTTAATCCTGACAACCTGAATCATGCTGCCTTGTTTATGTTACCTGTTTGAGAACACGTTGTTCCAATCAGTCCTGTAGAGGAAAAACATGGATTAGTCTGATTTCATTTGATTTTATGAGTTTATTAGATTACTTTGCTCACAGTGTGGGTCTCTCTCTCTCTCTCTCTCTCTCTCTCTCTCTCTCTCTCTCTCTCTCTCTCTCTCTCTCTCTCTCTCTCTCTCTCTTTTTCTCTCTCTCTCTCTCTCTCTCACACACACACACACACACACACACACACACACACGGTAGTATACCCTCATATACATTACCTGCTAACAGGAGATGAAATATGTGAGGCGTCATCCTCGGAGGAGCAGCTTTCTACAAAATATGTCAAAATAAATAATTCTCCAAATGTATTTTTTTTATTTGCAGAACGAACGTGAGCTCTCACACCATTCTAACTAGACATGCTCTCCAAACATATGTTAATGAGAGACCTATCAATTACTAAATACCACTAGATTTGTAGCACGCACAAGTAGCTTACTTGCCCACAGAGAAGTCAACCTTCATCTCCAAGTCAGGCTTTTATTTCAAATTCAACAGGATAAATGGTAAAATGATAAATGGCCTCTAGCAGCTTCTTACAGTTCTACAACCCCCCCAAGGCGCTTCACAGCACAATCAGTGATCCATCCTGTCACACACGCATTCACACACTGTTGATGATAAGCTACAGTGTAGCCACAGCTGCACTGGGGCGCACTGATGGGGGCGAGGCTGGCGCCACCAGGATAAAATGGCAAACAGAAATCGAAAATATGTACCTGACTTTTTGACAAATTCAAGAAAGTGCTGTTAATGAAAGAGCTGAGAAGTGGCAACAAAGTGGTTAAACAACTTATATCGTCATCTTCGTTCACTAATTAACTCAACAAACAAAAGAGAGTTTTTAACAAGGTAACATTCTGGCAGCAACAGATGCTCTGATGCAGGTATGTCGACATTCAAGTGAGGCAAGTTTGGGAAACTTTATCCTGTATGACAAAGCAGTTTCTATCTACAGTTGTCATTCAAGATTCCTACCAAAGGTGTATCCACTTCTTGTAAGACCAAGAATTTGACTGATCATTTTTTTACAATCTCATAATCTAAACATACAAGTAAAACAATCCTTTTCAATGCAAATATTTATGCTATCATTGTTGATATCACCTTAAGTTCATTTAGCAATTCTAGTAAAAAGCTTGCACCATTTGCAAACAAAATGATGTCTTTGAAATAAGGTAAAATATCACTTACTGCTCTGTTGCAATATCTAACCACCATTCAGTCAGAAAACATTGCAAATCTCGAAACACTCGGTGGCAGCACAGGTCTGACCGTCATGAATACGTCAACGCAGCTGCCACAGATTCATAACTACCTCTTGTCAATGCTTATTTTTGCTTACATCCGTCCATCCATTTTCAACCTGCTATCTGGGGTCAGGTCACGGGGGCAGCAGCCTAAGCAGGTAGGCCTGGACTTCCCTCTCCCCAGCCACCTGGACCAGCTCCTCCGGGGAAATCCCAAGGTGTTCCCTGGCCAGCTGAGAAACATAGTCCCTCCAGCGTGTCCTGGGTCGTCCTTTAGGTCCTCTTCCGGTTGGACACGTCCGGAAAATCTTACCAGGGAGGTGTCCAGGAGGCATCCTAACTAGCTGCCCGAGCCACCTCAACTGGCTCCTCTTGATGTGGAGGAGCAGCGGGTCTACTCCGAGCCCCTCCCGGATGACCGAGCTCCTCACTCAATAAGGGAGAGCCCAGCCACCTGCATTTCGGCCGCTAATATCTGTGATCTCGTTCTTTTGGTCACTACTCATGTTTTTGCTCACGTTAATGAAATCTATCCAGTTGTATCTGCCAGTTAAAGCAATTATCTTCATGAGTCACATAGCTGAGAATCACTTAGCACAGAAGCCATCAAAGAAAATTACTTGTCACACACAGATCAACCCAGCAATTAAAGATGAATCCATTAATTATATAGACTTGTGTTTTAATATGCAACCTTTGTTAAAATAAACAGTTTATCTGCTCTTCACTTCTGAACTGTTACATTCATTGTGCAAAAGTATATAAATAAATAAATAAATAAATTAATTAATTAATTAATTAATTAATGGAGCATAAAAATAAATAAATAAAAAGACCCACATTTCAAGAACAACTATCTGAAATGGGCAGATTGTGTACATAGTCATCAATGTTAAAAAATAAATACATTTTAATAGTTAAAAACTGAAGCAAAAACCAAAAACAGGCTAATATTTTAATCCACAGCAACCAACAATACTTTTTAACTTCAATTAGAAAATAAAATCCCTCATATTTAAACCTTTATTTGTTTAAAACGTTGTAAATATTAAAGGTGCGTTCTTACCTCTGTGTTGTCCCACTATGCTGCAACTATCTTGATCACCACAACGTTAAAGAAGGTAACAGACACCCTTACGCCTCAAGTCAAATGATGGAAGTGAAGACTGACCACTCAGTATGAGTTTATAAAAGAGGGAGGATTTTTTAAACCTCTGTCACAACTAGCTGAACTTGTTTCTTTCCATCTTTTGTGATGCTGGAGATGTGGATGGAAAGGCGAGGTAGAGTGGGAGGGGTTTTCAGTGTGACGCAGCGACTAAGGCTGTCAGCATCTTAGAGGTAAAAGTTTGTCAGATCACTTTAAGAACAATAATTGCACTTGCAGTTGTGTCTCGGAGCCATGTCACTGTCTTACAGGCATTGAGTGATCATTCATACCAAACCTGATCAATACAAATGTCAGGAAATGTAAAGTTTGTTGTAATGAGCTGCTTTAGTTGCCTTTTTTGCTTTGACCTTTTACTTTACTGATGCTGTTACAAATGAAACCAAAATTGTACAAAACCTGTAACAACATAAAAGTGATGGAAATGATGAAACAAATTTGCTTAAGACAAAAGTCAGGGCAGAAAGGCCCACGAATAGGAAGGGATCTGCCACAGTAACTCAAAGGAGCAACAAAGACTTGATTAAAATTAAATCTCCAACAGCTACTTTGGAGTTTAAGAATCAGCTATCAAACATGCACTCCAATTCATTTTTATTTAAAACACACAAATTAGAACTCTGTCACTGAAAAGTCCTGGTTTTATTCAGCTGGTGGTTTCATTTCAAAGTTCAATAAACTGTAGTTGTGTCTTTTATGCATTTAAAATCCTAATCACCGTCTGTTTACGACCAAATCTTTGTCTGATGTTTATATTTTTTATTTAGCTTGTCACTAAAGTAGAAACGAGTAAACACATCTAATTATAGACTAATTAGAAGCATAATCAAAAATGACAGCACCTTCATTCCTGCTGTGAGGTAAAAGATTAGAGCACAACAGAAAACGGCTAATCTTTTGAACTTAGAGGCAGAACCTAAAAATGTTTGCTTTTGAAAGATGTTTCCATGTCGTCATTGTTGTTCTAAATCGATGATGATCCTGTAAAGAAGCTGTTTTTAACCTTATTATTGACACATACGTGTTTCTCTACATTGCAGTCATGTTTTGCATGAATCTAAATGAGTGATGCTCTTTTCTATAACAATTTTTAGATATTTCCTATAAATCCTATAGAATACGTTTGGATAAAAGGACGAACAACTAAGTCCTTCAGGGGTACTTCTGAGTTTAAAAATGCTCATGGAATACGTATGTGGCGTAACCAGGTAGGTAGGTTTTAACTGTTGCAAACCTGCAACGCCTGCCTCCAGAGGGTTAAACCGTAAATAAATATGGAAAGAGATTTTAAATGCGTCTGCTTGACACTAAATGTTCAAATAGCTTTTTAAATTCAACACAAAACAGAGTGTGTTTCAGTAGTCAATATAAATTAGAATGGTTTTGTTTCTACCTTGGGTGGGTAGGGAAACTTGATATGCAAACAACAATGGGAATTCAGACTACTACTTGTCCATTACATGTTCCTCCCCTTTGCCTTTCCCTGCTATTTTCTGCAACATATAGTGACTTAGCAAGTTCTCCCACTTGGAATCATGGAGGGGTCTGAAAATCACATTGTAGGTGAATTCCTACTGTGAGAGGCAGCGTTAAAAAGAAATTAAGAAATCACATGGCATGGTTTTTAGCTCGTTTATTTGTGTGTTGTTGAGGTTTTTGATCAAGTGTTTTTGCTTCGTTTAAAGCATGGCTGACTGGATTGTTGCACCACCTATGTTGTCAGTCTTTGGGATCTTTGTTGTTTCACAAATCAGTCTGGCCCTTTTTAGCTGCAGCTGTTGCACAAGCTTCACATTGGACTCCAGAATACTCAAAGTTCATGGCCACCATCACAATTGAAAGAAACCTATTACTCTTGGTTGTAAAACAAGCCCTAAAACCTCACATATTCACATTTCCATTACAGTACATTAAATCTAGCATGGCAGGTTCATAGTCACTCGTTTACAGCAAAAGAGACAGAGCACTGGCTTCTGCTCCCTCAGTCTTAAAGCTATGTGTCGTGGCGCTCCAGCTTTTCACCTACTCACAGTGTGAGATCATTTACCCCAAGGCTGTTGGTGCTTTCCCAAACTTGTTTTAAGACTAGAGGAGACAGACGCTTTAGAGTGGTGACCACCAGGTTGTGAAAAGTAAAAAAGCAGCTGCAGATTCATTTATTTTGACAGACTTTAAACTAGATTTGGCCTGCAAGATTTTATTGTTTTGCTTTTTGTGCCTTCTACTCTTTTATGTTGTTCTTTCTATTTATTTATTGGGGGGGGGGGGGGGGGGGGGTCCTGGGCAAAGAGCTATACAGCCTTTCAAAAGAGCTAGCCGTCAACATCTACCACCATCCTCCAGTCAGTTCTGTCCACATCCATCAGTGTGGTTCAGCTAAGCCATGACTGACCCAGACTGCAAAGAATATTCAGGTCTGCAGATAGGATCATCGGGGCTGACCTTACCTCCATCCAAGAGGTGTACAGGTTCATATTCAGACTAAGGGCAGCTAACGTCTCTGCCTTCTCCACACACTCCTTGACTGTGTAACCATCTTGGCCAATAAAACTAAATCTGATTCTGCATAAATGATGATGACTTACTTAGTCCGTTATTGTCATTTTACTGAATATATCAAACACGGCATACGATTCTTGTAGGATGACACTTGTAAGGCGTACATTTTAGGGCATCCTCAGGTGTCAGTTATCAGTTCTCAGGCGTCATTTCTCAGTTGTCAGGTCTCAGTTGCCAGGTGTCAGGTCTCAGTTGTCAGCTGTCAGGTCTCAGTTGTAAGGTGTCAGGTCTCAGTTGTCAGACTTCAGACCATGGGAAAAAGCCTCCGGTTTCAGGAAAAACTGCTTCAGGACAAATTTTGTCAAACCATAAGGCTCGTAATGTCTGACAACTGGTGGGGGTCGCTTTATAGGCGCAGGCGGTTTGGCCCGGGGGTGGGGGGGCACAGGATATGAGGGCAGCGAGCTAGGGGCGAACAAAGTTGGGTCGCCTCGGCGTGGCTTCAGTGGAGGAGGAGAAGCACGCCGGGCCTCTCCACATCATGCACCTTGCAAGTCCATACCCCGGTCCCGCCGGCCGTCCACAGCCCAGTCACCCCCACCCACCCCTGTCTAGGGTGGGGGTCGCTTTATAGGTGCAGGCTGTTTCAGAACTGGTGGGGTGCGCAGGGTAAAGAGGCAGTGAGCTAGGGGCGCACAGAGTTTGGTTGGCTCTGCGTGGCTCCTGTGCTTTCGGACAACGGTGGGGGTGTCGGGGAGGATGGGATGAGGGGCACACACCGCGGGTGTCCCGACTCCCCTGCCATTGTCCAAAAGCGCCACGACTCAGACGATGTCTGACAACTGAGATCTGACGCCTGAGAACTGACAACTGAGAACTGACACCTGACCACTGACAACTGGGAACCGTGACCTGACACCTGAGGCCTGACACCTGAGAACTGACAACTGACACCTGAGAACTGAGACCTGACAACTGAGACCTGAGGCCTGACACCTGAGAACTGACAACTGAGACCTGTCAACTGAGAACTGACACCTGAGAACAGACAACTGACACCTGAGAACTGACAACTGACACCTGAGAACTGAGACCTGACACCTGAGACCTGAGGCCTGACACCTGAGAACTGAGGACTCACACCTGACCACTGAGAACTGACAACTGAGAACTGTGACCCGACACCTGAGAACTGACAACTGAGAACTGTGACCTGACGCCTGAGAACTGACACCTGACAACTGAGAACCGTGACCTGACACCTGAGGCCTGACACCTGAGAACTGACAACTGAGACCTGTCAACTGAGAACTGACACCTGAGAACTGACAACTGACACCTGAGAACTGACACCTGAGAACTGAACTGACAACTGACACCTGAGAACTGAGACCTGACAACTGAGACCTGAGGACTCACACCTGACAACTGAGACCTGACACCTGAGAACTGACAACTGAGACCTGATGATGTTTCCTGAAGCAGTGTTTCCTGAAACCTGACGCTTTTCCCCCCATGGTCTGAAGTCTGACACCTGAGACCTGATATTTGACACCTGAGGATGTCCTAAAATGTACGCCGTACTTGAGCTGGCAGCCTTTTGATGTTCTAATTAAACTGAGAGAAAAATTAGCACAAAAATATTCAGATTGAAATTCCTGCAATAAA